GTTTCAAAATAGCAATAACCTATATACATATATAACATATAAGAATTGAAATTTGACTGTATTTTACAAAGTACTAGTCTACTAAAACACAGCCAAGACAGTTTACTTTGTAAAGACCAAAAGTCAGTTTTATGTTATTGGATATGGTAACATGAGTACACATGTGCTGTTTCATTGTAACCTCTGTATTTTTAGCCAGACATGGCTGAAAGGTCAATATAATAATAATAAAAAAATATATATAAATGTATAATGTTATGAGATTTATGCTATTTAGTCTAAACATTTATGTTTTTGTGTTATAACCTGTTGTCATTCTAGAATGAAAGAGGCATAATTTATATTTATTTCCTAATTTTTATGGTGGTTATGAGATCGGTCAAATCTACCAAACCCGTACAGAGATTTATTAGTGAAAATAACAGATGAAATAAAAAGTTTTTTCTTAAGAAATGTTTGATAACTATCTGGACATTATAAAGATTTTGCTTGTGAAATTTGAAAATTTTGTGATGCATAAAAGTATTTTTAGTCTTAAAATGTACTTTGCATGTTGGATAGGCAACATGTGAAAAGAAAGAAAAAAAAGACACGAGAAAAACATTGCTTTACAAACCTCAAGACTTAATAAAAAAATTGATATTTTGTGAATGAAAGCACTGTAATGTTTACCGATAATTTGCGAAATTTCATTAACATTCGCTTACTAATTTAAAAGTTATAGCAAGCACAAAATGGTTACAAGGTCGGTCCCAGGGACCAAGCCCACGCTGAAAGAGTTAACTGTTCTCAAAAATAATATACATTCATATTACACATGATTATGCTCCAAATCCAGCAAACAGATACTCATTAGTTAGAGAAAACACCAACAATTAATTATTATCACAAGGAAAATAGCATCACATCACACACATTAGAGTCCTTGAACCAAGATACATTCCGTTTAGCCAGTTAACATAAATACTTTAATACTTGATTCTTCTTTCACTAAATAAAAATTTTATCTTAGAAGTAGAACAATATCACGGTCAACTCTTTCAGAACATTTTAAAAATCCATGCTTTACCCAGGTGGATTTTAGAAAGATTGCTTCATAAAAAAATTAATAAAGGTAGTCATGTAGACATCTATGATTTACCCAGATGAATTTTGGAAAGAGAGTTTTATAAGGCAGCATGCAACCTTCTCAAGGATCCAATAGTACAGTTAAAATAATTATTGTAGTTGCTTTAAAACAAAGTTTAAAAAAATCTTAAATTATACATAAATTTTAAGCTTCAATAGTAATTAAAACAAAAAAAAAAAGATGTAGCAAACAAAGAACAAATTTTAGTTAATTTTTTTGCAGAGTTCTGAATATTATGCAGAATTTTTGGGAACCTCTAAAATTTAAATATTTTACAAGTTGAGAATATAATGTACTATTGGCTGGTTTAATACAGAAGTCAACATTTTTTAACTCCTGGTTTGAAAGTTTCTTTTTAATAACTACATCCATATATGTGCTATTTAATGTTACTCCATTTCTAAAGCAAATAATCATGTTTTGAAAAAAAAAAATGGTTACACCATACTGTATATCTACACAGCGTGGTCACAAGTAAACAGACACCACCTTTTCTGAATAAATGAAACTTTTCAGTCATATTCACATGAATTGATATATTTATAATTTACTTAATATCTAGTAGATCTTCCTTTCGCTTCGTGGAGTTCGTTGATCCTTTGGCACACCGTGAGAATCATCTCGTCAATTTTAAATTGTGGGATTTTCGCCCACTCTTGCTTCAAAACTTGGAGTAGATCGCTCTTCGAAGTTGGTTTTTTTGGTTGTTTCTTGACTTGCCGGTCGAGTATGGCCCAGAAGTTTTTGATGGGGTTCATGTCAGGAGATTGGCTCGGCCAGGGCAACTTCTGGATACCATTTTCTTCCTGCCACTTTTGTGTGTTTCTAGCAGTGTGACACGGTACTACATCTTCCTGGAACAACATTGTGTTATTGTCCACAAAACACTTGCTGTGGACCAACACACTGTTTTATAAAGGACTCAGTATAAGGCATGACCACTACCATAAGGTGTTGACTATACTAACAACACTTTCTGTTGACCAACACACTGTTTTATAAAGGAATCAGTATAAGGCATGACCACTACCATACGATGTTGACTATCTGTAACAACACTTTCTGTTGACCAACACACTGTTTTATATCTACATTAGTAGATAGTGTATTTTAAGCTTTGAGTTTTAGTCAAATAAATACAGCCATTATTTTTAGATTCAGTGTTGAATCAGCCCTAATTTTAGCACAACACCTAATTCTGACCTTGGACCAATAAGGCTATAAACTTGACTTATTTATTTTCTTTCTACTCTAAAGCAGTGAAGTCACCTCCTTGGTCCAGTTGAGCTTGAACAACTTTTTATAAAAGTACCAACTTATCATTTTTTACACTTATTATCACTTTCTTTTTATAAAACAGACAAAAAAATTACTTTTGAGCATTGATTTTAAAATTAGAAAGCCAGTCCATTAGATGTACCAAACTAGAGGCATATAACAGTAGTATGTTTTCTGTCACTTCACAATAAATGGTTTGCTGCTGAAACAATGGTTGAAAGACACAATAATAAAAAGCACATTTCTAACACCGAGTTTAATAGAAAAAGATTAATTATTTCACTGTTCTTCGATTAAAAACTGAACAGTTTCAAAGATCTGTTAGGTTGATATCATTACTTTTCAAAAAACGACCAATTAACTCTAAGTTTACGGGAGTGTACCCAAGTAGCCTCTCACGTAACCAACAAAACAATGAGTATAAAAAAAATACTTTTTCTAACTTATAGGTTTCAAGTTTTATTTGCATAATCCCTAGAACCTCCAAAGTGAATGTCAAAGGTTCTTTTTAACTTAAGTTAAATGATTATATATATATATTTTTTCACTTTCTCTGTGTAGCTATTCTCATCAACTTGTACTTTATAGTCTATAGTACATTACGATGAAACGTTTAAGATTAAGACACAGCAAAAAGGTACACACCTTTTAACATTTTGTGAAATAATCTTAAAATATATTTTTTCGCACATCTTTACATTTTCACAAATAATTTATTTTGATAGTTTATTATCCTTTCCTGTCCTTTAGTGCTGTTGCTTATTGTAACCACGTAAATGGGTGTCCTCGGCCAATATTACCGTATAGTGGACAGAGAAGCTTTAGCTCTTGGCAGAATGTGGTGGCATTTATATATTACACTATCCCATGTGAATCGAGCAGACATTGGCTTATATAAAAAAAATTATTAAACCTATCAAATAAGCATCTTTTAAAACAAAAATAACAAATAATTAAGTAAAATATAAACCTAAAACCTACATATAATGCAAATGTCTATCTAATTAATGTATTTCAAGGTGAGAAATAATGATAAAGTGGTAGGGACAAAGCAGCAACAATGTTAAGAGTAGTTTGACAAGCTCTCTATATAATTCTTTGCACCAATTCTAAAATAACAGTTATCAGAACGTACTTCAAAAAGCAATCTTTCCATTGGTTATAAACACTTAGCTCAACTAAGTATAATTGTCTGAGAAATCATAACTGTAACCGTACAAAGTGGGCGTGGCATCTGTCAAGATTTCAGAGGAATTTATTTCTCCTTTCTACAAACGTGCCCTATGGAACTTCAAAGAAAAATGTGTAAACAGAGCCATTAAGCTAGATTCGTTCTATATATGGAAGGTTAGCGTGAGTCAAGAACTGTTCAAACTACAAATTTAACATTTTCTGAACTTGTGGAACACACGTGAATAAAACAAAACTTTAAGAATTTTTCTTTAAGGTTTCTTTTGAAATAAAGGAATTAAACTTAGATAATAGAAAACTTTGAACTATAATATAAATTTTAATGCTGATTTGATTGATAAAAATTGATCATAAAATAGCTTAATTAAATTTTAAAATGTACCTAAGTAAAAAATCTTGTGACATTTGCAGAAAAGGGTCATCGTAAGAAAAGAGTTAAACTATGTAAAAAAAGTTGCTGCAAATAATATGGGATTAATTTTCATGTTGCTGTAATAGTAAATACAGGAAGGTTTGTTTGCTTGTTGTTAAACATAAAGTTATACAATGGTCTATCTGTCTTTATCCTTCGAAGGTATCCAAACTCAATTTTTAGTGTTATAAACCCTCAGACTTGCTGCTGAGCAACTGGGGGGGTTCTACAGGAAGAAGAATGGAGTCATCAAACAACCATATATGTGAAGGAACATCACTTAAATTTTTTCAATATAGATAAATTACACTTATCTTCAGCGAAGTTGGCAATTTCTAAACTTACTCAGAACATCTGTGTTCAAATATCATCACATGCTAGACAGTAACATTAACTTTTGGATGTTTTATGTTTCAGAAGCAACTGGAAAAAAACCTAATACATTTTCAGACAATAGCATCAATAACAACACAACTAAAAACCATGTTTAAACTTTTTGCAAGTTCAGGATTACTGTTAAAGTATCCCTAGATGTTTAATCCTTTCATTACTAGATTCTTCTTCTGAACATATTGTTTACATGTTACCCCACATTTTAATTTCTGTCAAAGTAGAATTCTAGTAAGGAAGGTATTATTTTTTGGTTTCATATTAAACATTTAATTGCAAGTTTACACGCCAATGAATACTAAACTGTTAAACACACCTTTAACTGTAACTGAGGTGTGTTCATGTACTTCTGTATGTTTTCCGAGATCTGGTTTAGCAAATTAATTATAGATGGCTTCTCCGAATGTTGTGCCTTAATAATGGCAGGCCAGGTTTTCTTCAGGACATCCCAATCATGTAGAATTAAAGGAGATTTTTGTTTCTGGCCCAGAAGAATGAACAAGGAACCCTAAAATGTAAGAAAGAGAAGAAAATTTAAGTTGAAATGGACATAGTTTCATAAAAAAATTAAGCAACTCACAGAAGTATTGAGATACATTAGTTGTTGAATTATGATTTAACTATAACAACCAGACAACAGTTATGTATAAAATATATCCAGTACTAAGCATTTACAACAATTAAATAAAACAGAGTAAAACAATAAATTTGTAATCTTGTGTCTTTTATTCAACTCTCATAACATGTGATATATATAAATGCTTCACACTGACTAAAATGCCTAAAGTTTACAAAAATAAAAGTACTATTTACCATGTTAAAAAACAAAACTGTACATCACTTAAATAAGCTTAAGTTACGTGTTATTATACATTAATATATATACATTCTACTAGGTATTTTTTCAACAAATAAGTTAAAAATTATCTGTTATTAAATATGCCTTCAATAAAACATACAAGAGGTGGAATAAAGTATTTAAGTATATTTAATTTAGATATAATACTATGATAGATATAATACTATTACTTACTTATAGCTGATAGAGAATAACACAAGTACTTAAAATAAATATGTATTATTACTTTAAACTAAATAAGTGGAACACACTGGCACTTGCCTATTTAACAACATGAAACATTCTTAGTTCTCAAAACCTTATAATTAGGTTTGTTCATTTATAAAACTATAACTAAATTATAAGCTTATTTTACAGAAGGACAGAAAAATGTAAGTTGCCAAAACAATCGTAGCATTCCATCTGGAAAAATAATATATGTGTATTTCTTTATCTGTGGGCCTTTGAATATATTAAATGTATCATTTTACTCAAAAACATGTAGTAAACATAAGATAACACTTCATCTATACATCTAAATTGCAAGTAAATTTAAAAAATCTGTTTAAAAAAGTAGAAATGGAGCTTTCATGAGCTATCAAAACAACAAATAAAGCTTTATTTGTGTTTTTTATTTTATATATTTAATAAACTAAATGTTACTTATATTATTATAAACCTTTAGTACTGCTTTGTTTTTAGCATGAACTTGTCAGATTCTATAATTAATATGAAAACAATGTGCAACCAATTGACTGATTGCAAATTTTAGCAGTGCTCTAAACTTGCAAGGAATATGTTAATAAATACTAAAAAACTACTTACTTTAAACTTCTCATGCGAAACAACAGTATCCACTGTGAGAAGATTCAAAATATCAGGAAGGAAGATCTTGTAGGAGAGTGGAAATAACCTAAAGCAGGCCTGTAGTGTACTCTGGGCTTTAATTCTTACCTGTTTAATATCATGAAATACACACAGGTAAATTCAGATGTCTTCCATTCATTACTAATAATAACAGATTAAGGCCACTACTTGTTTGACAGTTCATATGTTGTTACAAATTTATGAATTATTGTGAGAGCATTTTATAAAATGATTAACATTAGATTTAAGATACTTGTGAACATTTTTGTCAATGTACAAAATATTACTGCCTAATTGTGTTTGTTTAATACCTTTACATTATTAATCTAAGTTTAACGCAAAATAGTTATTCAAAATTTAGGTTTAGTAAATCTTATTCTACTAAAGTAATTCACTATATAGATCTAGGTTCATATTTCAGTATGAATTGAAATGTACAATGAAATAAATAAGGCATACACTCAGTATATTTGACAGTTACTTATAATTCTGCTTAATTATAGCACTAAACAATTCATATAAACACACAGACATACATATAACAAGCTAGCTCATATTAATTAGTATTAGCATTTCAATGAAAAGTAGTATTGTATCTCTAGACTAAGATCAATTCACTAGCCTGGCAGATGCGACTGTACAATAGTATATGAGCGGGTCTTATAAACAGTAACAAACAAGCATACTGTGGGCATTATGAACAGTAATAAATACTCATATTGTGAGCTTTATTAACAGTAATAAATACTCATATTGTGAGCTTTATTAACAGTAATAAATACTCATATTGTGAGCGTTATTAACAGTAATAAATACTCATACTGTGGGCATTATGAACAGTAATAAATACTCATATTGTAAACTTTATTAACAGTAATAAATACTCATATTGTGAGCTTTATTAACAGTAATAAATAATCATATTGTGAGCTTTATTAACAGTAATAAATACTCATATTGTGAGCTTTATTAACAGTAATAAATAATCATATTGTGAGCTTTATTAACAGTAATAAATAATCATATTGTGAGCTTTATTAACAGTAATAAATACTCATATTGTAAGCTTTATTAACAGTAATAAATACTCATATTGTAAGCTTTATTAACAGTAATAAATAATCATATTGTGGGCTTTATTATTGGTAATAAATAGCAATATTGTGGGTATTATTAACATTAACTAAAAATCTAGAAAGTTATTAGAATTACTCACTGCATATGAATTAATGAAAACAAGTTCAGTGCTATAATAATAATAAAAAAAAAGCATTGATAATTTCTACTTGAGTAGTTACACCTTCACAAAATATTTACACAGTTATATAGATTGTGCTGGCCTTATATAAGTGAATGTATTAAGACAAGGAATAAAGATGTCTACTTGATAAGAATAATCATGATTATGCATTGTATTTTAACAATGATGAAGTTATTAAGTATTATATAACCAAACAATATTATAAAAAATTAATGTGTTATTATTTGGGAATCAACAACAACCTATAATATCTCTCTCATTATTTGACAACTTCTAATACAAATGACTGCTTTTTCAAGATTACAAACTTCATTTTTTGGTAAAAATAATGAAAAGGAAATAGTGAAAAGGAAAGGTTTTTTTTTACTTAGGAAAAAAATTAGAGTAAAATTAAACTGAATAGCTGAGAAAAAACAGCATCAATGTGTCTTGTACAAATGAATTACAGTAGCTAAAACTTCTGAATACTCTACCTCAGTATGCGATATAAATTTATGATACTTCAGAAAATAATAATATATGTTTATTGGTGGTAAGATTGGCTTGTATAAAATCCTGAATGTACACGAATATTTTTCTGCTTGGCAGTGTACAATCAAATTATAGTGTTCTCTTTTCACTACAAAGTTAATTTCAAACACATGTGATATACATGCAAGACACAACCTTTGTTATGGTCCATCCACTTGGAATGTGGAACTTGGCCAATAAGTATTATAAATTTAGGCAAATAAAAATCAAGTCTGAGAACATAGAACTGAGTTCACAACTGCTTTTGCAAATGAATAAGTTTAAGAACCAACTTCCAAAATGAAAAGTTAAGCTCACATCTGATCAATTAACTTTAGATGAGGAGGTAATGCATATTTCTATCTTGATTGAGACTAAAGGTGTATTTATGAATATATATTCTTATACTGCACATTTGAAAGAAAATAAAAAATGGTATTTTACATTATTATTTTGTTAATATCCTGTATAAAGTCCTATTAAAATGTAACACTGGCTCTCATAGTACCAAATGTTTGAGTACAGCTAAAGTTGCATATGCTGTTAATCACTAAGTGTAAAATATATTCATTTTAAAAAACATTTCAATTTTGGTTCACATTTGGTGTGATGGGGATTTGAACACGCGACCCTCAGATTGCGAGTCAAGCATTCCTAACCACCTGGCCATGCCAGGTCACCTTTCGTTTGATTCACGGGTGATATTCTTCCTATACAAAAATACGGAGAAGATGGCACATTATTTGATTATAACAAGAACTGTACATTTTTTTATATTTTTCAGGTCCAACTCCTTTAGCAATTTAAAATAACCAAATTTTACAAAAAGTCTCATACTTCACTATAATGGCTTGTAGCTAAACGAAGTAGATCATTCATCAGCTCCTTGTGTATGGTTGAAAAAGGCATTCGTTGAAGTTCCAACACACGCACCTGAAAATGGTTTATCTTTTAATTTCACATTTATGTAAGTTTAAATTAATTGCTACACTCAGTATTCAGTCTTTTTTTCATTAAACTTTATTTCAAGAGCAAGTATTATTCTAAAATAACTTGCATATCATATTTGATAAAAAATTAATATATATTCTCATTTTAATTTAAATAAATTATTTCAATTTACAGGAGTAACAATACAGAAAACACATACTGTTTAATTGTTAAAACGATATCCTCAAAGGATCATTAAATGCAATGACTTGACCAGATAATGTATAACTATAGCTCATGGTTGAAAAAAATTAATTTTCTATAATTCACAATTAATATAACAATAAAACCGAAATATGCTTTGTTAGTTATATTCTTAAAAACTATCTACCTGCAAGAAAACAATAAAAAAGTTTATTATGCTTGGAATTATAAAAGAATATTTTTTAATAATCTATTTCTAACTTTTTATAATCTATTGAATATATTAGAGCTAACACTTCAAGATACAGAAATGGAATTCGGGTAACTCAACATAGCTGTTTTAAAAAATATAAAAATACTTTCAAAAACTTTTCATGTAAAGTACATTTGTTCTTTACTGAATAAATCTTCTTACCTCATGTTGTAATAGAGTTCTATCAACCAAGAGGGCTCTGATGTGTTGCTTACTTCCAACAAGCTGACGTTTGGAAAACATCCAAATGTATTTGTTTAGTTTACAAAATCCTTTCAAATTTCAAAAACTTACTTATGAGTTTTGGAATCAAATACTAATTTTAAATATATACCAACTCTCTTCATATTAATGAATGGACAGATTACAACTAACTCTCTTTTATACTCCAAACTTCACCATAATAAGATATTTTCAGTTACCATTAAAACACTCACATGATAAAAAGGTTCTCAAAGACATTTAACCATAATCTCATTTGTATGATATCTTCAAGTGTAATATATTAATTAGAAACAATAAGAGCAGTATACAAATTAATGTACTATTTTTACTACTGGATATGCTTTAATGACTAAAGTGTTAACAAGAGCATAAGTAAAGACTAAATTATACAAAAAGACATAAAACTCTCCTGATATGACTAGGTTATAGTACCGTTTAATAGTTATGTTTATATAAGGCTCACACATCCTTAACTACACTTCATTCTCACCTCTCTTTCCACCTTCAACCAAAACATTATATTAAATTAAAAGATAAACCTAGAAGAAATGCACTTCCTGGTTTAATTTGCATGTTTATTTTTACTATTCTAAATGACAACAACATACATTCCACACAGCAGAGATATGAAATTTGTAAACAAAAATGCTAATTTTTGCTTTGTTAAGTTAAAAAAAAAAATTAATAGAACAGATCAACAACATAAAATTAATTTATTCTGGTTTCTAAAAAAATTAGTTACATCATTGCAAATATATGTACATAAAACTTTAAATAAACACAATGAAAAAAAGTATAACTTCATTTCTAAACTTTTGAATTGCTTTTTAAAAACTGTAATTTGATATATGTCTAATTTTAAAACCACAATGAAACAAGTGGACTTTTGTGAGCACCTCCTTACCTTTGAAATATATCTGATACAGTAAAAAAATAAAATTTGTATTCCCAGCCTGTCTTTGGAATGTTTTTCTCATATTAAAATTTTAAGGAAAACACACAAACTTATCTGTCAAAGAATATTGAATTCTTATTAATCGATAACAGTTAAACTTAAACACTGGTTAAAATATAACTATAAAAATAACGGAGTAACTGTTTTACCAAGAATGGTGATAGTGTTAACATAAACTATAAAATGCATAAAAGAAGTGAGTTCGTCAAACAGTTTAAATTTTCAAAATTATGAACATACTACAAATTGTAATGATAAACCACTTGTACACTAATACTCTTTTACAAAAACATTTTAATTTGTATATATATATATATTTTTTTTAATAATTGAAGGGAGGGAGTTGAAAAATCCCATTAAACATAGATTTAAAATACTATATTTTGCTGTTTAAGTCACATTTTATATTTAGTGGAAATATATGTAATCAAGTTTATAGAGTCCAATAGGAATGTACACTTTCACTTTCTACAACTAAGTTATTTTTCAGTTATTATGAAAAGCAGTAGCTGAAAATATTGAGGATCAAGAACTAAAAACAAAAACTAGCATCACACCAATAAACACTTTTAACAAGAATACAGATGTTTCTTTAGTTTTACTTTCATTTCTTTGTTTTTGTCACTAGAGAGATAAATTATCTTTTGAAAATTGAATTAATCATCCAACATTGCCTACAATGCATTGAACTTGCCTTAGCTGTCTTATATTATAAAAAAAAGAATAGTGTGATATCAATTTTCATGAAAAAACTACATGCATGACCAGCCAATACTAGATTGTTCTAAGTACTGGGAAATCACAACTTGAAAAGGAAGGCCTGTTTTACCATTCTGGTCCATTTTCATTTGGAATGAACGACCTTTGACCATAAAAATGCCTGAACTTTGTTAGTAATGCTAGCTATTAATAACGTTGTAACACACCATCACTCACATATAAAGTAGCTGTAATGTGCAAGACTTTGGGGGTCTGACCCATATATGGCATTAAAAAGGTCCCACAGCAGTTCAACTGAATTCATATCAGGGTTCTAGTTAACATCCTGGATGTTTTATGTTTCAAAACACCCCTGGAACTAGATTATTGTAAGGTACTGTTGTGATCATGCAATCAGTATACAGCTTCCTCTATACAGTGGATGTACTAGCCTGTAAACAGTTTGAAGCTTCCTCTATACAGTGGATGTACTAGCCTGTAATCAGTTTGGAGCTTTCTCTATACAGTAGGTGTACTAGCCAGTAATCAGTTTGAAGCTTCCTCCATACAGTGGATGTACTAGCCTGTAATCAGTTTGAAGTTTCCTCTATACAGTGGATGTACTAGCCAGTAATCAGTTTGAAGCTTTCTCCATACAGTGGATGTACTAGCCAGTAATCAGTTTGAAGCTTTCTCCATACAGTGGATGTACTAGCCAGTAATCAGTTTGAAGCTTTCTCCATACAGTGGATGTACTAGCCAGTAATCAGTTTGGAGCTTCCTCCATACAGTGGATGTACTAGCCAGTAATCAGTTTGAAGCTTCCTCCATAAAGTGGATGTACTAGCCAGTAATCAGTTTGAAGCTTCCTCCATACAGTGGATGTACTAGCCAGTAATCAGTTTGAAGCTTCCTCCATAAAGTGGATGTACTAGCCAGTAATCAGTT